CAGCGTTTCTTTTACGCTCTTTTCGCTGGTCTTTTGGAAATTTTTCCCATCCTTCCACGTCCCCCTAGGCCTCGTTTCGAGGACTGCCTGTTGCTTTGCAACGGCTCAAGTGTTTCAAAATCCCTAGGGGTCGCGTTCAAGAAAAACTGACGGTAGGGTGCTATGGTCTTTAGGCTCCCGTGCTGGCAAAACCACCACGTTGCCCCTCCCCGCCGAAGCGAGTAGGGGCGCAGTTCCAACGGCTCTAACTTCAGGCTCTCAACGCATTGTTTAAACAATTTGCGCCATCGTGGTGGCGAGGGACATAGCTTTTGGTGACTTGTCACTAACTGAGACCACTGCTGAACATATCGAAATGCAGTATCATGGGTGACAGAGACGCTCTCCTGCACTCCGGCTCTCTTTCCGGCTTTTGTTAGCTTCAGGGAAACCACTGCCGTCCGGAGCTTCGGGGAAATCTCAATTCGGCTTCGGTTCACATCTAGCAGTTCTCCAGTTCTTAAAATTCCGTAAAAGCAAAGGAGCAAGCTAGTGCCAAAAGCGAAGTGGCCATGGTAGAGTGCCCATCCTACCATGCTGTGCAAGACCAACTCAGGCACCGGTGGCGCCCTGTTGGGCAGCTCATGCGTTACCCATGTCTTGACTAAGCGCCATGAACCTGGAAGGTGTCCACGCAACTTTGCGTCATAGTCTTGTAGTGACGCCAGGGTGTCGGCGGCCAGTCCACGCCCCTCCCCCGAAATCCAGAGATGTTCCACATACTCCATGACTAGCGTGTCTAAAAGTTCACGCTTCCGTGGCAACTCCAACCCTTCCGCTTTTAGAAAACCAAGGAACTTTTGTAAGGCCTTGTCATCGCATGCCCGTGTGGAAGGCTGCACTGTTAGTTGTTTCAAACTGCCTAATTTTTGCCGATCAATCGCTCTCCTAGCTTGTGTGGTTCCCTCAAAGACGACCTTTGGCATGGCGAAATTTCGTTCGCACCGCCCACCTCGACGGACGATCCGCCGGGTTGAGGTCAGTGCTCACATATCCCCACAGACCTACCACATTGTGTGCTAGCAAGAGCGAATTTATTCGGCAAAGTGTTCTCCTCAGGCGGCGACTTGACGTCCTTCCACGCGTCATACTATGTAAGCATACCAGTGAATCGGTGAGGTGGACCATACGGCAATCATGTTCCTGCATATGTTCTAATCTCCATCGTATACATGCCAAGCAGGCACGCAACTCCAGGGAGTTTATATGCTCCCCGTGGCCTGTCCACTTCCATCCTGAAATAACTTTCCACTTCCACATCTTCGGGTTGACAGTATGTCGAAGCCGTTGATGCCCTTGCACCTCCTCCGGCGTGGCTGTGAGCATGATGTCAGCTCCCTTTGTAGACACAAGGCGCCCGAGGAGCTCCACCAGGGACCCTTCTGCTGCCCCCGACGGCCTCTGATCAGGAGTCAGAGGCGGCCTCATCAAGCGAGATTGTATGTAAGGGTTTCCCTCCAATGTCAAGCGCGAGACGACTTCCTGAGGGCTCAGCTGGGGTCCTAAACCTCGCGGCCCAACCAATTGGCCCAGGAGCCAGGCCACCACTGGTACTGACCAACCGTTGCCGACCAAGCTCAGCCGCTTGTCCAGGTAAGCCGCTGTCTTGCGTTGACCCTTGGGCATGCACATTTGAGTATACCCACCGGGTAGCCCCATCATGTACTCCCTTTCAAGGATATTGGGGATGCGAAGTGTCTTGGCGCGGTTCACCAAACAATGCCGGGGCAGGTAGTGGTACGGAGGGAATCTGTGGCTGTCAAGCTCCCAACGTCTCACCGTCTCCTCGTCGCAATGTTGTAACCCCGCAGGGCGATGGCCCCGGCTAGGGCGTGGCCGAGAAGTCGTAAACGTCGGAAATGCCTGAGTCGGGTCCACCTTTGTCCAGCCTTTCTGGACACATTCCTCCCAGGGCGTTTCCCCGACAAGCCAGAGCTCGCGCTTCTCCATGTCAATGATGTCCTCATTCGGCTGCAGTTCCCATGTTATCCAATATAGCCTGGGCCGGTTGCACCAGGTCAGGCCTCCTGCATCGCAGCGCCAGGGCTCCTCCCCGAACGAACCTGACATTACCACCTTGTCCACTTCGTCCATGGATGCCACGCTTTCCATCAATGTCTGGACCTGTGCCCACACAAAATATTGCTGTACCAGGGACTGAATCCGCTTCACGTGGACGAATAATCCTGACCTTTCATCCTTCAAGGCGCCTTTGCGCTGGCTGTTCAACCCCGACACGCCCTGACAGGGCGGTCCCGCCCCGATCAAAACAAGTTGTACCTGTCCGAAAGCCAGTGCCCACGCTTTCACGTCTTTCTCCTTCACCTCGACGATGTCAGGGTAATGAATCGTGCCAGGGAAATGGTGTTCGACCACGCGTCGCGCCCCAGGGTCCTTCTCCACTGAGATGTGCCCCGCAACATCGCAGCCCAGCAAGTCAAGCGCCACACGCAAACTTCCAATGCCATCGAAGAGGCCAATGCTCAGGATGCGTCCGCCCCGATTTGCCTTCATCTCACCGGAGGTTGTGCCTGCTGCCACCTGTTCCCCGAAACGTGTCAGCCCAACTGCGGAACACACGCCTCCTCCATGTTCTGAAGCGTCACTGCAAGTGACCCTCGGGCTCAAGTCTAGCCGGAAGCTCATCCTGCACAAGGGTACTAAACACAGAAACCTGCGAATCTCAAGCTTGACGTTCCTCGGGATGGGAAGCCGGTGACGTCCTCGTACGTTGAAGGATTCAATGAATGCCCAGCATGCGTTGAGCCCCCCTAAAAGCTGGCGACGGAAGGTTGAGAAGTAAACCAATCCTCCGCACACGACCTGCATCTGGCGCTGTGTGGCCATGGTCTCCTCCATGAGGTGGTAGGCAATGGTAACGTATTTGGAAAGTTTCTGGCCCTTAGGGTATGCAAGTCCCCGATTACCATCCACAACGGCGCCTTGAACCTCAGCTACTGCTTGACGGGCGACTGCTTTTCCAGGATGTCGTGGTAATCCCCAAGCCAAATACTCCTCCCGGAGTGCGAGGATCTCAGGGGCTTCTCCCCCCGTTTTCTCCATCAAAGTCTCATGTGGGTACTTCTCCAGGAGGTCGTAATTGTCCAGGTATACCCTCCAGACCGTCTTGCCATCTGGCAGGACTCTGTCTTTGCGAATCTCGCAGCTCTCTATATTGTTATTCCGGTTGTGTTGCTGCGAACGTAGAACCAGGGTGCGATGCACGTGCTGTGCAATCCCCACACTGTTGAGGAAACCCATCGGCAAAACCTTTGAACAGGGATAGCAAACTTCCCCCCGCATCTCCGGAGGTACCAGTGCTGCTGGTAGAGGCTTGTTGAAGCACAAATAGGGGTACCAACAGCGAGGCAAGGACAGTGTGTAGAAAAAACACCGTAAGTCCTCACTGGAAACCACCAGGTTCTCATGCGGCTCAATGTGGAAAAGGGTGACAGTGAGGAAGCGTATGTATGTCACCAGCTAACCCTTGGCACAAGTCGTTGAGTGGCACCAGATTCATAATCAAGCGGTAGATAGGAATTCCCTGGTCTTCCTCGCCTTTCTCAACTCCAAAAAGGCCGTTGAGCAGCAGCTTTGAATTCACCCGGAAAACTTCAGATTCAGGGACAACCCCAAAGACCCCCGCTTCAATCAAACCCTGCGCCACAGCAAACCAGTCAGCGTCTTTGGCCATCACCCGTGCCTTCCGCACAGGTCCCCACTCACTTGGCGGCTTGAGGAATGATGGGAAATTCTCCACATAATGCCTGCATCCTAGTTCACAGATATCAACTAAGGCTGCTACCCCAATCTCCTTGGGCAGCGCCGGTCTAATATTGTCCCAGCAAAAACTCAAGGCCGTTTTCACCTCGTCACCCTTGTAGTCGATCGTGCGGGTCCGGAAAAAGTCCCCCCAGTCAAAAGCCTCGGTCACCTCACGAACCTCCTTGAGCCTAGTCACTTCCTCTGCCAAACCCCGGACGATCCGGGCCTGCGTCTCTGAAACCGCTGATGTACCTTCTTCTTGTCCCTGTTCCTGGGTCACGGATTTGGAACACCCCCATAATGAATTCAAAGCGTTGCAAATAGCACAAAGCCAATCAACCGTCCATGCGTCCTCTCTCGAGACGATCGGGGCCACGAGCTCACGACGGGTCGGAAGAGGGAAAGTGGACAAAGACTGGCGTCCTTCCCTGCTTTGTTCTCCCCCCTCCGTGGGCTGGCTGCAGAGCGAGATAGACCCTCGCAGGCTCTCCCCCAATGTCAACCCCATCTCCCAAAGCTGCAAGCCCATAACACCTTTTTGCGAACCCTCACGGTCCAAAGGCTTGCGCCTCGTGTCATCCAGGGATCTGTCCAGCCGTGACGGTTGACTGTACCCCGTCGGCCCAACAAGCGTCCCTTTGGGAAAATCGCTCCAAACTCCCGGTGGGAATCGAACATCCACCTCTGTAGGATACAGGGCCTGCGGCCCCGTTTTCGTGGTGCATCGTGGTGGCTGTCCAAGCCTTTCTCCAGCGCGCGTCTGCTCCTTGAAATGAGCGACACATGCCGTCATAGCCTCCGTCTCATCTGCCAATGCAATGTCAGGGCCAACCAGCCCCGTCCTGATGTCCAAGTCATTCACAATCTCCGTCAACTCTTTTCCAGGGTCCTCCCACCCCGTCATACTGCTTTCTTCTTCCACGGCTCCTACTCCTTCTTGGGCTTCTCCTTGCCCTTCTTTCCTTTGCCTTTTCCCTTGTCGCTCCTCTCTCCTTTGGCGTGGTCCTTGCCACTGCCCTTGCTCCACCAGGGGGCAGTCTGGTGGGCTTGGGCTTCCGCCTTCTGCTCGGTCGTTGCGATCTTCAACTCCTGCCTCGACGACAATGTGGCTGTATCGCTTGGCAGGATCTCCAGGCGCTGTGCGGAGGTCCACGGCATTCCATTGGCCTGTGCTTCGAGCGACTTCACCCGCTGGATGAGGGTGTCCATGGCGTCCGGGATGAGCCCCCGGATCACCAGGTCGGCCACCGTGCATAGTGTCAGCAGCTCCCGGCTCGCATCGGGCCAGACACGCGTCGGCTGAGCATCTGGCGGTAATAGCGAAGAAGCGTGGGCACCCAGCCCTCGTGCTGTCCTGTCTGATGCCCAGCTTCCGTCAACATGAGCTCCTGCATGTCCTCGATTGCCTGCGCAGACAACACTCCCGGAAAGTTCAGGGCCACACCTCTCACGCGCTGATGTTCCCCGAAACTTGTCTGGCCTTTGAAGCCGCCTCCATCCTCGCTGGCGCTGCTCCGACTGTCCTCCTTCTTGGGCCGGCTCCTCTGAGCGTACCGCTGGGCCTTTCGGCATTGGCGGTTTCGGACCTTCTTCACCGGGTCGAGGCCACTGTGAGCAAACAGCCTCTTCTGGTCTACGGCCGTGTACACTGTTGTTGAACTGCTGCTGGATGAGGAGCTGCTCCTCCCAGGGTCTTTCACCCCGTCCCCATCTGCTGCCTTCTTCCCCTTTTCGCTTCCTCTTCTTCTCGAGCGACTCGAACGGCTTCTCTTCCTCTTCTTGCTGTCTGGCGAGCCTGACTTCTTTCGATGCCTGCGACGACTCCTTTTCTTTTCTTTTTTCTTTTCCTTCTCCTTGACGTCCTGCTTTTCGGCCTTGGTCACGGCGGCTCGTGCAACTCCGGGATCTCCTGGCAGAGCGTCCATGCGACCTCGAAGTCCTGCCAGTTCGTCCCCGTCTCTCTCGAGGACCCGCGCCGACGAGCACATCCCGCCATGGAAGCCCCTCCAGTCCTCCAGCGACCCGATCACCCGGTACTTTGTGCAGTGGATGAGCCCGGGACCCACTGCCTCTTGATTGCACTCGCTGGTGCAGACGTGCACTCTGGCGTGGTGAGTGGTGCCCGTCGCCCACGTCAGCAGGCTCTCTAAATCTGTGCCGAGGAGCTTGAGGATGATGTACTGTCCCGACGCGTCCCTGACCAGTTCCGTGACACGTCCGCTGAACTGACACGGGGTGTTGTAGTACACTCCTTCTTCTCCATGTATCAGGGAGCTGATCACTGGCTCCCTGTCGACTAAGGGACCTTCGCCCCGATCTCCCTCTCCGTCGGCGTGTGCTGCCGGCCGATGAAGTGGTGCACGTAGTCCCGGGGCCCTTGCGGGTCGCCTCATCACTTTCGGTGCCATGACTTCCCTTTCGAAGGCCGGCCCTTGCCGCCTTTTCCCTTACCTTTTGACTGTCGTTCTTGGCCTCAGTAAACGTGTGCCCAACCTTTCCACCGCTTGAGAGGGGCAGGGTCCCTTGCACGATACCCCGGGGGGATACTGAAGGTGTCCTTGGCCTTCTCGGCAATGGCTTCCTGCTCGAAGGTTTGGCTGTCTGCCGCAGCTCGAACAGATGAGGATTTTGGATGACTTCGTCGTCCTGACTGGCAACCTGCTCCTCTTCTTCCTCTTCTCCCTCTGGGATCTCTTCCTCCTCTCCAGGTCCAATGCTCACGGCTTCGGCCTGCTCCTCCACGTTCACAGGGCTTGGAGTGCCCTGAGACTTCTTTCTTTCTCGCCTGCGGCTCCGGGAACGACGCCTCCGACGATGTCCTGAAGCTGACCTGACAGGGGTGGACTTCTTCTCCCTGGTTGTATCCGCAGCTTCCTCCTTGACTGCCGTGGATGGTCCGGCTGCGGGACTTTCGTGTCCAGGGTGCTCCCCCGATACCACTGCCGCCTTTGAGTGCTTCTCCACCTCCTTCTTCTCGCTGGCCTTCGGGGACTTCTTGCCCTCAATGAGATACCCTCTTGAGTCAACAACGCCAGCGGTTCGGTCCGACTCGAAGATCTCGCAGTCACGTTCAACTGTGGTGAGGACCTTTGCCAAGTAGGAGATGAGTTCCTTCCCCTTCGAAGGTGGGTATCGGGTTGCCACCTGTTTGACCTTGGCGGACAAGTAGCAGGGATCACAACTCCCCGACGATCCACACGGCAACTCAAGGCGGCCGTGGCAGTCACGGCAGGTCATCTAAAGCCGAAACACTACGGAATAAGAATGAATCGGTGTGTTATTCTTTAATCCCGGGGGCGGGAGACCATATCGTGTGACCTTTTCCGGTCAAAGCCGGAGCGCTCAACATAGGTCGAACGGTCGGTCGAACCAGGTCAACATAGGTCAACATAGGTCTTTTTTCCGGTGCTTCGAGTGTAGAAGCTGTACGACGCAGTCGTTGATGTATCAAACTCTGGGATTCTCCAAAGAAGAGCTGAACACCAGGAGTCACAAAGGGGTGGTGTTTAGTCCTTAAGTGAATGGATAATGGGCCCCCCTAACCTCCATGGATCGCACCCCTTTGTGACTGCTGAAAGACAGACCGTTGTGGTTTCGGATATTTCACCTTTCGGTGGAACCGTGCAGCACCCGAGCCACTCGGAGGTTTTGGTGCACTCACTCAGGTAGACATGTAGAAACCGTTTGACATCGCCACGAAGAACATCACAAACACATCATCCTAAGAGTCAGCGGTTGTGCGCTTGGAAATCAGGAGCTCGTTGGGAATTCTGGTCTACGTTCCCAGAGAAACTATGGTCTTTTGCAATTCTTGCTTCTTTAACTTTAACAAACATGGAACCTCTCAGAACGGGATGGGGTGGACAACTTAGAACCACAAAAAAAGAAATGGTAGGTTGAAAGTTGATGATGTCTAGCTAGTAGTCCATGTTGTTCGCTTTCAAGATTCAACCAAGATCTTTGACACGGCCATGTTAACTCTTTGGATTCTTCTACCTCCCCACCTACCAGTCTAAAACGCGGCCCGGCGTGGCTGCGGCCGGACTCTCCTTGGGCATCAACATCCTGCGCGGGATTCGGGACTCTTCTCGCTCAGCACCTGCGCAGCAGAGAGCGGGCCCCGAGCCCCGCTACGCTCTCCGTTGGGTCCATTCCGGGTCACGGTCCGACCATCGTCTCGGCCTGCCACGTCGACCGGGCCTGCCAAGTGACCTTCGAATCCAAAGAAACAGATTCAACAACCTCCCAGCATCCGGAAGCCCTCATTTATGAGGGTTTTGAGGGTTGACCCCTGCGAAGGTGTCCATTCCGTCCTGCACCGCCCCCACCTGTGGTGGCCCCTGCGAAGATGCTTCCGGCCGGCGTGACGCCGGCCGGCTGGGATGCGAAGGCCTCGCTGGTGAGGTTCCGCGGCTTGGCACCGAAGACCTAACTCTGGGGTGTTTAAGGGAAACTGTTCACCATATACCATGAAACATGTTCACCTCCCGAGGGGTGTACTCCTGAAAAAAATAAATGCCCCGATACACCAGTAGAACTGGATTCCGTCTGTTGGGCACCAGTGTTAGAGCGATTTATGCACTTGCACAGGACATGTTCAGAGGCAATGGGTACGGTAGCGCCGAGCTCCACCAAATTCAGAGACTAGAAACTGACGAATTCACAAATCTGGGACCTGGTGCACAAAATTAGCTCCACGTGCATCTATTCTGGGGTACATCTATGTACATACAAGATTCCAAGCAAAGCTGCAGGAGTTCTGTCTTCATTGATGTCCGAGCTGTTTCAGAAAAAGAAATACACCAGTCTACCCATTGGCTGGGGGGTCTTCCCACATGCTGTTCCTCACTGATAAGGGTTCATCGCCCAGGCGATGCTGCGGATGAAACAGCGAGGCCACACCTGTCCCAAAGTTTCCATGGTTAATCTTCTTTTGAGCTACTAATAGCGATGGCCTCCAACCTACTTGCGATGGCCTCCACCCTAGTAGCGATGGTAAGGTCCTAAAGCTTTAGGATGAAACCAGCGATCCAAAGGGGTTTATCATCACAGGTTCCTCGGATCGGAAGCGCCGCGCGCGCGGTGACCCGTGCCACCTGCGCCTGCACGGATGAGCCTGGCGGGCGCAGGTCGAGGGCGCGGGCACAGTCTCCCGAGTCTTCCGAGTCTTGGAAGAGAAATGGAAACCCCGCGGAGATCGGACTGGTCCCACTCCGAAACTGGATCGTGGCCCGCGCGGCGAACGCGTCCCCTCGCCGGCGCGCCGTTCGGGCGCGCGGGGGAGCGACCGGCTCCGCTGCTTCAAGGGGAGAAAGCCTATCCCGACCGAAGCGGCATCCCAGGAAGAAACAACCAAACGGTTTAAACGGTCGTGTAAACTCTTGATTCATAAACCCTCCAAATGAGGCTGGAATTTCAATTTCAATGGGGGAAGGTAATAATCAAGAGTCTACATTAGGGCTCTGATCCACGTGAAAGTAGCTGGTCTGTTTATGTTTGTCTACGTTGGAATCCATGTTCAATGGGTCAACAATAGATCATTGTCCACCTTCCTTAGCAGAAAATCGCTGAAGCTGCCAGAAGCCAGAAGGTTTTTTGCGCCGCAAAAACTGAGACCACAAATCTGTTGGTTTGGACAGATGTGGCCGATCCTGCACCTGTACTCTCCTTTGAGGAGTGATGGCTGAGCCATCACCAGTAAGTGGTGACTAGGGGCTTGGGAAAAATAGATATATATTCATTCATAATAGCAATAGTAATAAAGAAGGAGAAGAAGAAGAAGAAGACCTGGTC